GCTCTTCTGGGAGGATCTAAATCGTTGAAGGAGGTCAATCTTAGTCGTCTTCTTCTTCTTCTTCTCTTTCTTTCTTCTTCTTTGTTATTAGTATTTGTGTGTGTGTATGTGTGTACCATCAAGTCAGATCTGACAGGTACAGGAGGAGATTGTCCTTCCTTCTCCAGCAGAGCATCAGGTAGATTCAAGCCACATCTCGCACTTCAGGGATTGCCGTTTTCTTGCCACCAGAGCTCACCTAGAAGGTCAATCTTATGAGAGAAAAGACACCACAGAATGTGTCCCGCACCTGGAGATGCTATAGCCTCAGTCTTTGCCCTTCAGACTTGTTGAGACTTTCAAAGCCTCAGCCAGAGAAATAACAGCTCCTTCGGGCCTCAGGCAGATTACCCTGTCTGATGGGGGTTCGTGCTGTGGGCTATCTCCCCTCCACAGAGATAGTTTTACTGGTCTCCCCTTGGAAGTCATCAAGATCTAGGTACTTACTGTCCCCTGCTTCCTGGTCTGCACTGGGAACAGCTAGTTCTCTTGCAACAAGCTTGGGGGATGCAGTGTCCCGTGTTCTCATGTTTCCACAGTTCCTGGCCCAGAGTGAGGAGAAGCCACACGTGGTGGCCCACTTTCATGAGTGGCTGGCGGGCGTGGGGCTCTGTCTATGCCGAGCACGGAGGCTGCCCGTGGCAACCATCTTCACCACCCATGCCACGCTGCTGGGACGATACCTGTGTGCGGGGGCCGTGGACTTTTACAACAACCTGGAGAACGTGAGCTGGAAGTGGGGCAGATGCGGGGTGGGGGTGTGAAACCTAGCCACACAAATGCCGTGGATAGCGTGAGGGGATCAAGTGCTCCCTTCTTCTTCCAGGACCCAAGAGTCCCAAGTCCTTTCCTCATTCCTCCTAATCTTCCTGGTCTCCCCTTGCCACCCAGTTCAACGTGGACAAGGAAGCAGGTGAGCGGCAGATCTACCACCGGTACTGCATGGAGCGCGCGGCCGCCCACTGCGCCCACGTCTTCACCACTGTGTCCCAGATCACCGCCATCGAGGCTCAGCACCTGCTGAAGAGGAAACCAGGTAGGGACCGGGCTGGGCTCCCTGGAGGAATGAGGAGGGCCACCGTCCCTGCCAACGCCATTATAGGGACCACCGAGAATCAGCCGTAGGTCATAGCAGCCTTTCATGGGATAACTGTTAAGCCTGTCTACTTCAGCCTCAAAATAGTAGGTAAATTTGAACCCCACTGGGACCACGGTGTCAGTCCATCTCATTGAGAATCTTCCTCTTCCTTTGTGGACACTCTGCCTTCCCAAGCATAATGTCCTTCTTCAGTGATTAGTCTCTCCCGTTGATGTGTCCAAAGTAAGTGAGACAAAGCCTCGCCATTCTC